AAGTCTGGGTCCGGCTTGTTTAAGTCGGACGATTGCTTACAGATCCTTCTGACTTGTGCAATCCAGCCCTTCACCATGGTTTTATCGCCGTCAAAGGGTGATATGGCAGTCCGGGCATTGGCCTTTGCATTGGCCTTAGCGTGTGCGTCCACCACCATCTGCATGTACGTTAGGTCATGCAGTGGTGGGCTGGCCCTCGGCGACGGTGCAGGCGTTATCCGCTGTATCACCACCTGTGGCGGTGGCTGCAGTGCCTGTTGCGCTGGGGCCGGCTGAAGTCCCTGTTGAGAGTTCAGCGTCTGGCTTGGTAAAAAGTTAGATGGCTCCGTTGGACGCCACCCATCCAAGCATTCCGTTCGGTAACTGGACCAGTACGGGCATATTCTGGCCCCGGTTTGGCTGGGCGGCCGGTCCAGTTGGCGTCACCGCTCCTAGCGGTGCGCCTGATGAGTTGGGCACATTCTGGCCCTGGGGCATGTTTTGGCCCGGTTGTGGTTGGACTTGGCCCGTTGGGGCTGCCGCTGAGATAGGAGGGCCAAATAGGCTTAGTTGGCCTACGAGTGGCTGTTGCACCGTTGGTGTGCCACTTTGGCCTCCCATCTGCCCTTGGGTGTCTGGTGGCACGAACATTGGGCTCTGCGGGTTGGTCCGGTTTGGATCCATGCCGCTGATGTAAGCCTGGCCTAAGGCCGGATGTGGACTTTGATTGAAGTCCATGTTCGGGAACAAGGACGGGTACAATGGCCTTGACCCAAAGTAGCTGTGGCTCGGTGTTGCCTGGCTTGGGTCAAAGTGTGGCCCGCTTGCCGCAGACGGTTGAGTCTGCGTTGCGGGCGTCACTATGGTCGTTGGGCCAATAGTGGCTGATGTGGTGACCGGGGATTGGTGGTGGCGGCAGCGTTACTGTCGCCGTTGATGATCCCTGGTTCACTGGACTGAGAGGCGTCGGTATGGTTGGCCCCGTTGGGGGATGTCCAACCGATGGTCCTCCACAGCCATATTAACATGGTAATGCTGTTGGTGATACACTGACTGGCGATAGAACCGTTCGTCCTGCCGCAGAGTCTCGTCGACTTTTTCTTGTCGGTGCTGTGTATCCGAGTCCGGAAAGGTATGGTGGTTCCGCGGACAACTCGGAGTTTAGATTCTCGAGGCGTGATTTTTCCGCGTCTAAGCAGGCGTTCTCCGTGCTTAGCCTTTCCAGATCTTCATTGAGTTCAGTAATACGTTGAGTGGCTGCCTGGTAATCTTTGACCAGGCCGGCGTTATTGGCCTCCAAGGTGATGATCCGGTCATGTTGGCCCTGGATAACCTGTTTGGCTTGGACAAAGGCCTGCTCCAATTGGACGAAGTTTTGTTGTCCAATGGCGTTGTTTTGCTCAAGTTAAACGCGAACCGTTGATTCCGTCCTGAGCTAACTCTGGAGGGCAGCATTCTGCTGCTGGAGTTGCACGATTTGTGCCTCCTTTCTGTTGGACCGCTTGGTCCAACAGTCCTCCTTGGTTGGCCTGGTTCTGCAGGGCCCGATAGTTATCGTGCAACAGGTTGAATCCGTTGCGCAGTCGGTCATGGTCGTCCTGCAGGTTGGCCATGTCGTCGGTAAGACGATCATTTTCTGTCTGAAGGCGGTCCGCCCCAGAGTCGGTCTCATCGATAATTGTCCGGGCTGCGGCCATGTCATTCCTGGCCGTGTCACGCTCTGTCCTCGTTGAGGCGAGCAGTGACTCAAGTCCCTCCACTGCCACTTCTAGGCTGTGGATTGTCCTCTTGAGCTGGTCTCGCTCAGTATTAGGACATGATGACAACTTGAGCTTGTGCAACTCAAGTTGGGTCTGGGCCTGTTGGACCGAGACACGTTTGGCCTCTGCATCCGCTTTGGATGCAAGGTTTTTATAGTTCTGAATCTCGACCTGCATCAATCGTTCAGATGCCAGGGCGACTTCAGATGCAACCACTAGCTGTTTGGTCAGGTCCCGCACTCTGGTCCGGAGTTGGTCGACTTCTTCAATCTCCTCGGGCGGGATGGCCTGGATCAGCTTTTGTGGGCTGAATTCGGCGCGGCTCATGTCCCAGGCTCATTGGTTCAAGTCAATCCTGGATGTGGCCCTGTTAAGTTGGGTCAGGTCCACTATTGGCTCCAAGTCCGGTTTGGACTGGCAGGACGCGCCGATGACGTCATTGGTTGGCGATGGCGTTGTATTTGTTGAGCCATCAGCATCAAACATAATTGGCGACTGACTCACGGGCTGTTGGCCCTGGTCATGTGCCTTTGGACCAGCCTTTCTGCTTGGCCCTTTACCTTGCGCCCACTTTTGGTCACTGTTGGTGCCTCAGGTTGGATCTGGTCCGAGCCCGATAGGGTTGGACTTGATGTCAGATCCTGGACGACAGGTTGGCCCGGGCCGAGTTATCGGCACCGGGTCCACTAGTGCGTGTCTTGTCCTCACCTGTGGCCGCCGTTGGCGCCCCAGGTTGGACTTGGCCCGGACCAGGTATGGCCGGTTGGTGTGCCAAGTCCCGAGGGACACTGTTGGCCTGGGCCGGCTTGTCGGCGCCAGGTTGGCTGTCTTGAAGCTGGTTGGCTTCAAGCAACCCTTCGGACGCTTCCGGGAATGTATCGTCCTGGGTGGCGTTTAAACTGTCATCGCTGGTCTCCAGGTCGGCCGGCAGGATTTGGTTGTCCCGCCTGGCTCTGGCCTCGGCCGAACTCGTAAAGCCGGCCGAGTTTGGCTCCTCGGGATTAGAACTGTTCTGCCTGGCGCTACGGAACCTGTAAGGTCCCGTTGGCTCGCGCGAGGCGTAGTTCTTCCCGAGAGGCTTGGTATATTCGTTTGGCTGGCGCCTGTCAACAGGACTGAGCAATCTCCGTTGGAGTTGCTCATGGCTGGTGTAAGGCGTTACCTTGGCCAAGGCGCTGTGAGTTTGGCCCATGGTACTGGGACTTAGGAAATTTCTTTGGTCTTTGGTCTGGACCGGAACGTTGAGTTGGATCGTGGGTCGGTGCTGGTCAGGAGCGCTAGAGCTTAGGATTAGCGTTAGCTCCCTATGGCCCTATGCTACGTTACTGACCAGTGTGACGTACGAAATGGTCTGCTATCGGCTCTACGTCACGAGTAGCGTGCCGTGAGCAAAATCCAAAAAAACAATATGACTCACTACGAGTCTTATAACACAGGGAAGTTTCCCACGTGTTCTGATTGGTCGAAATTTAACGGTAAGTTACCACTCTGACGTCACGCGATTTTTTGCGAAAATTTCTGGCTGGACAAAATGGCGGTTGTTTTTTTGCCAATAATTCGGTAAAAATCAGAGAAAATTTCTCGAGAGTAACACTACACAATTCTAGTGCAGAATTTCAAGAGGAATCCGAAAAAGCTACTTTTAAGCGAATCGGATGAAAAGTTCAAAAGTTATGGATTTTTGAAGTTAGGTTCTACGCGAAAACCTCGAAGTTTTCGAAAGTTCTACGAAAACCTAGGACGTCACAGCAGGTCTTACCGGTTTTTGATCGTCCAGACAGTGCTGCTCCGTCGTTCTACTTCACCCTCTTCTATCGTGAGGGCCGCAGCGTACCCGATAGGGTGCAATGGAAAGAATCAGGATCGTTTCCGCTCAGTTTTTGAGTTGGGGAGCCAAGCTGCGGGGGGCCTACTTATAAGCACTCGCCCGTATGTAATCCGTCGCGCGGCAGGTTTCCAGTAAAACCTGTATGATCAGGAGACAGATGAGATCGCTGGAGCTGGCCTACTTATAGGCGATCAGCGTGCTGGCCCACTTATGGACTCAGCGTAGTTCGACCGAAAAATGCCTTCACTGGGGGATCAGAGGTTCCGTCGTGAGGAAAACCGATCGGGCTGCTACCATGTCAGAACGACACAGAAGCAGAACAAGGAAAATGATGGCAAATAGCCTTTATTGTGTAACAATAAAGCAACCAACAAACAAACACAGAAAAACCAGTGCGGAATCACTGAGGAAAAGTAGCTGTATCGTATGCGAGCTCGTAAGAATCGTGATAATGATTCAGCGTGCTGCGCATTCATTTTTTGTGCGTTGGATGCGCTGATGGAGATGTGCTGCCGGTTGTGGTGGGCGGGGAGGGTCTGCTGCAGTTGGGCAATGGTATGCTCTAGAGTATGGGCCGATTACAGTATGTGGCCGGCGACGGTGCAGCGGCTGGACAGGATTAATCCGGCGCAGAAACCAGTGGAGTTGCCGGTGATCAAACCGATCCCAAAGCCCGAAGGGTTTAAATTGCAGTTTTAAGTTCATAATGGAAGGGTGATTTTTTGTGCTTCTTTTGCTTGGTTTGTGGTCCAGTGATCCGTGAGTCTTTGAATTTCAGTTGAAAATGTCGATAAAAGTATGAATCGTCGGATAAGCAGCATTTTATGAAACATAAATACTTAAATAAAACTGAAGAAAATCGGCGAAATTACAGCACCGGGTGCTCTTATTAAATGTCAAGCCCAATAAGCCGGTAATAAAAGTCGATAAACGGTCAGAAAAACGAGGCGGTGAAAGTTGGCAAGCAGTTGCATTCAGTCTTTACAGATACAGTACCGGGATGCAGCGCGAAGCTTATAGCTAGCATCGCCGTATACCCGGTAACCAGTGGCAACCACTGCGTTCAGTTTTAGAGCAGGATGTGCTGCTGTTTAAAAAATTTAATAGTAAAAATAATGGTCCCTCTGAAATTTATTGTTTAAAAAATAGTAGCACCCCCCGGAATAATCGCACCGCGCAATAAGCGCATAAGTTATAGTACTGCAAAAGCCGAGCCGCAAGGTTGGCCCGCCATCGTCGACTCTCACTTCGTCGAACAGACACGACGTCGACTCGTCACGGCGTCGAACTCACGTTTTGTTAAATCACCTCAGTTTTCTTAGGTTTCTTAGGGTCTTAGGTTTTTCAGATTCTTAGGTTCTCAGTTTTCTAAGGTGAAATGTTTCTGTGAAATGAAATGCAGAGCATGAGTGAGTGTTGACTGTTGAACGTACCTTGCGAGCTCTGTTTGGTACATCGTAATAAAATCCGTCCATTCGATCGGTTGGACGGACTATTTGGAAACCGGTCGTCCTACAATTTCCATTTACTCTATAAATGACCAGAAATAAATCACCAATGTTTTTTTCTACATTAAATGTTTCTAAAGTTGATGTCGTCGCAGATACAAGCGCATAGCGAAGGCGTCCATTTCCAGCTTCTCTGTGTGCTTTGGACAGCGGGCGCTACAGTACTCTTACCTTATAAAGCGCGATTCCCGAGAAAATCCAGTTGCGTCAAACGTTATGCACTGCGAAATTTTCCATGGTCAATAAAATCATTTTGCGCTGTTTTCGCCTTGTACCGTTTTCAACCGTCGTTCTTTTATAACTTGTAGTAATCTGTACTAGAGCAATAAGAATGTTAGGCACCACAAATAACCAATTACAATGTAGGACACCTAAGCTACTATTATAAGTTATTGGCTGGTTGTTAAGATATACTGTCAAACTATTCTTAATCGACACCTGGACATTTTATTTTATTGGTTATCATGATAATTGCCCGACAAGACTGTGTTTACAATTCCGAACACATTCAGATTCCAAATTCAGCGACCCATTTCTGAACAGAAAGAAGTTCATCATGGCACGTTAGTCAAAATCAATGTGTCCGTGGCGCTTTTGTGACGACAAGCGATCTTATGGTTGGGTTTTATTAGTTGTATTACATGTATGCCATGCATAACCTCATAATTAAATGTAAATTGAATTACCGTTTGCATTCCTTCCTGCGTTCTCCATGTAGTGCGTAGGCGCATATATAATATCACCCCGACTCGAGTGCTAATCATGGAAGCGATAATCACTTTGGCATAATTCTGGCAGCAGCATTTGTGGAGCCGCGTATAAACTCCGAGTACATATCATCACCCGGCCCACACAAATGCTGCCACCAGAACCCCGTGGGTCCGAGCGATGGGGTGTTACGCAACGGCCTGAACAACTGCGCCCGATCTCGGCCAATTATATGGCAACAAAAGCTCTCAACCGGGAGAGGTAGGCGCGCCCAGTGCACCTATACTCGTACCCTCACTACGGGTACAGTTCTCGTATGAGCAGTAACCTCGTTCAAAACTGCGAACCCTCTCCGTAAAATACCGTGCAACGATCCGGTATCTTGTACGTAATTGTGTTCTTTTAGGTTAGCGTTTGGTAGTCGGTGCAGTGCCATTAGCTAACGCCATAAACCTATCCTCAAAACGAAGAAAATGGCTACTCGTACTTGTCACGTAACCGCCAGCTGGTGGCGGATTCTGCCGACAGAGTCGACTTCCGTTTCCGTCAAAATATCAGTTTTATTATTATGCGTACAACAAATATTCACTGGGGCATTCTTCTACAGCAAAGAAAAGGCACGTGCTTCAAAATGGAAGCAGAAGAATTCCAATGCATTCAATACTGAGGAAAATAAAAAGGTCAGTTTCAACCGAAAAGAAGATAACTGACATTACGCACCCATTTGTCGCCGGACTGATCGCCTTGTTGTTGGATCTCGTTTTGAGGTGCACGGGCCGTGACGTAGAGTGCCGAGTATCTGACTCGGCATAGCCTGGGAGGGGCTATCGGATCGGGTAAGGTTGGGCCAAGAGTTGCAACCATCCTCGCACTTCCACGGTTGACGCGACACTTAGGCTTGGCCACGTAGACCGTTGTGCTAGAGATGATAAAAACCAGTGCTCGTTCATTAACGGTTGGATTTTTTTCCCTTACGATTTTCTTTTTCGTAAAATGGAAATAGCTTTCCTAGCCCATTTTATCCTAGGGGCTGTCGTCATGGATGGGTACCACCGGGCCACCCGACTGTGGCAAAATCTGCGCAACATGGGAAGAAGGGTTCGAGATTGGATAATAACAAAATATAAAAGAACAGTAAGTATGTTTTTCTATATTATGTCATCATCCTTTAACGAAAACGTTCGTAGGTGCGAGGTCCCGCGCTGCCATTCCCGAGAGAAACTGTGTGATACATGAATTTGCCTCCCACCATCCAGATTCTGACGGAATTAGGAGGGGTTTCCTTTTGGGATATCTTCACCTGCTAATTCGTTTTTTTTTATTTATAACGCAATCTCCATACTTACATACTGTGCTTAAGTTTCTTATAGAAGCCCACCTTAAACAAGCTCGCAATTATATGTGGGGAAAATAACAACTGAAAACAAGGCACATATTCGCCTGAGCCATATGTATCAGCTAAGCCATATCACTGAGTACACTGAATTCTTATGTTCTTCGATTTCTTATGTAACTGTGTGTTCTGAGCCGTGACTGTGTTTTGAGATGGTTTCTTTTAGAGGTTTCTGTTCGGATACCAAAAACCAAAATTTCATGGTACGTGTAACGGTAAATAAATTGCTCCGTTTTCCTTAAAAAATGCCCGCCACAGCTTATATTGGTAGTAACACCGTGCTCTAGCCGTACAGGGACGGCATATTTACTGGAACTAAAACAGGCTTACGTAACTACCTAATGTACAGCTTAGGACAGAATGGTCGCATACCCAACATCTCCCGAATGCAGCGCAGTGCACTGTACGACTGAGTTCAAAATATCCGTTTCGTATAAGTGCACTGCACCGCTTGCGTACAGAATGCTGGGTATGGGGCTATGCGACCATTTAGTCCTACATTGTACATAAGTACAACGATAATTATGGTCCATGGGATACGTTAAACACCAACTTGCCTGGCCCGGAAGTAGCGCACTGTTGCCAAGGACGGTCTTGATTTCTGCGATAAATCCTTCAGGTCGTCCTGCCAGCATGCCAGTCATCCAGGGCGCTCTGTTCTAAGACTTTATCGTGGACTTAAGAGTTCTTGTTTTTTTTCCCCATTGATTTCCAATTAAACTTGAGCGAAATTCACACGAATCCTTCCTTGATTTATTCGCCAATATCAGAACTCTTCCTACTCGTAGCCAGATCTTTGACAGCCGTATATGTCTCGTTAATGATAGCCAGAAACATGGCCATCTCCTGCACGAAAAAAACGAAGACGTTTTAGGAAAAGAAGAAAATCGGCCGTAAAACGCGGTTAACGGTCTGCAGCTAGTCGAAATCCAAGTCATCCAGAAAGACCAGAAGTAAGGTCATGGCTGCACTCCCAGTATCGCTGTATCCTTCCAGCTAGACGTAAAACAGAGACAATCAAATGAGTACCCGTAGAGACCTTCAAGTGGCCACTTATGTTAAGTCAATGGGCGACATACCTTCAAGTGGCCAGGCATCAGTTACTTTGTCCCAGAACCGATTTTCTTCCAGTTTTTTGGTACAGCATGTTCAGCACAACTTGCTCTTTACGGAGTACTTGAAAATTTTCAAATCGATTAAGCCGTGTTTTAGTTATTTAAGTTGTAAAAAACCTTTGACGAAACGCTGAAGCCACGCCACGAGAGCCACTACACTACGCTGACTTATTTCACTCATCAACCACACATGTTGCTGCTGCAGCGAGTACTCGATCTACGTGTGCGGATATGAGCACACAAGCAACCGGGATCAAACTACGTTCCTAAAAGACAATTAAAAATAACAGAAAATCACAAATCAAAATGTAAACATCACAGGTTAGTGAGCATGCAAAAAATCACAGGTTGATGAAATAAAAATCACAGGTTAGTAAACACTGCTTAGCAATACGACAAGAATGATTAAAAACCCTTTCCATACTTGTTCCGAGTCTGGCGTAGGGTTTTTTAGGCGTGTGCATAAAGTTATTCGCGAGATCGCGCAGATTTTTCAAGCTTCGCTTACAGAAACACCGTTTTCTTTTACGTCAGCGCAGGTTCGTAGAATACGTTTTTCATTGTACTGCTTCACTTTCGCTTCTTACTCTCACAATTCTCAACACAAGTCACTGTAATAGGTGAATTTAACTCTTCTGGGCTGGACTGAGACGGACACTGAGAACCCGGAAACCCAAAGAAAGTATTATGCTGCAGGATCTGCATGAAATTTTTTAAAAGTACTTACTCGTAATTATACAGTACTTGTTAAACTGCGTGTCACGCAAGTCGCCGGTTCAAAAAGCGGGTAGTTTGTTAATTTTCGCGCAAATCGGGAAGCTAACGATCGATTACGCAGCAAAAACTGCTAGAAACTACTAAAAAAGTAGAAATAGTTCTAGCTTTTTGGCAGCGAAATCTAAAGGGCGTGTATTAAGGCTGTATCATGTATAGAGTCTACGCTCTACAGAAAGCGTAAACTTTAGCACGAAGCTGATGCAGTTTTGTAACTGCGGAATTACTAGTAATTCTATAAAAAAACAGTAAAATATTGCTAATTGTAGAAAAGAAAGCATTGTAGAAAATGATGAACTTTATGCCTATTTCGTGCGGGAATCCAAAATCCATGCATGAAAGTACAATAAAGAGCTACTTTCGCGCGGAGCTAAAAGTCGGTTTTACTGAAAAATCGCTACAGATTCAACGAAAAATAGTAAATTATGCGGTTTTATGCCAAATCTGTTATAATTCTTAAGCAATACCCCCCACCTTACTTTTTCGATAGTTCCCACTTTTAAAAAATTCCGAGGGGCACGTGCTCCCGTGCGCCTCCTTAAACTCGCCAATGGGACTCACAGCTGTTGTCTACGTAATAGGAATGATCTGTTTTTCTATGTATCAAAAGTTGAGGCCTTTATCATTACCAATGAAACATTATGTGACGTACACGGAATCGGGGCATTTCATAATGACTATCGCTTCAACGCTCGGGAAAAGGCGCACAATAGGTCGTACTGTGCACTTCACCAAACCAGAGACTGGCGCATGACCTTGACATGACAATAAAAATAATTGCGCGCAAAAGTCAAAGGGAGGTAAGCCAAAATGCGGCAAAAAAACGTTTTAACAAAAGCTCTTCCCGACGCAACCAGACACTGGTGCTGGGTGTCCGATTCCTTTAACGCTCTTCTAAACAACCAAGCAGTTTCAAGAACAGACCGATGCAGCTGACGGATGTACCCCGCTGTAGTCTAGCCGGTATACGAGTGAAACGGCGACGTATATGGGTGCATTCCACGCACCGCGTCATTCCATAATCCTTACGAAGCGTTTGGCTTCGTACAGGTACTCTGTAGTAGTTTAACTTTCATACGTACAAGGCACTTAATATCAAAAAGCATTTGTTGTACTCGTATTATCTGAATTTCGTGTTTTCCCATGGATTTTTCTTTTGGAATTCTAGACCTTTTTGTGGGAAGCGGTTACACATTTTTCGAAGCGCTACCGGGAGTTAGGTTATTAGAATTTGGTTTGCTAAACATTTTACTGCTGCATGTTTTGTACAAAGCAATAACTGGCGCTCGTCTGGTACGACCCCCAAATAATATCCAGTTATAAGATTAAATTAAAATTTAATCATATTATGTGAAACTTTCCTTCCTCTTTCTGACCCGAAAAATTCCTTCCTCCTTTTTACTCCAGAAAATTTCCTTCCTCCTTTTGACCACACAAAATTTCCTTCCTCTAAAATTTCATTCCTCCTTTTGTCAGTGTTTCCAAAGCTTTTCTGAAATCTTACCCCTGTCTGAAAATCCACTGCAGCATTGCTTAAACCCATACATCTTACCAGAAAACTGCTGGCGCAGAAACTAGATACAGATACTTTGGAAAGTATGTCAAACAATATTGTTTCCAAAGATTTTCAGTTAAAAGCGATAAAAATATGGCGCGTACACGGCTTTATTCAACGTGGTATAACTTAAGATATTACTGAACTGACCAGGGCACTATTTCCGCCTCCAAATTTTTTTTTTGTTAAAGTTTTTTTTGTGAAAAGGTAGTATACTACCGTGGAATGATTAAAAAAATATTTTCATCTGCAAAAACCAACTGGGCGTGGCCAAACAAAAATTTAATGAGTGCAGAGTAGACGTACTGTTAGAATGTATAAATTTCATTTTATGCCGCAATATCGTTTTTGCGGGAACTGCACGTCCCGTGGATCCTTCCAGATGCCGATCGAGCACCAACGTACAGTACGTACTACAGCGCGCGTGCGGTGGCCATCGCAGCAAAATTACAAAATTTCAGAAACTCATCAGAAACTAATCAGGAGCATTTAAGTAAGTAAAAGATTCTAAAAAATGTATGATGTAGCAATTGCCAGGCAAGATGGGACCACCGAAAGCGTTTTTGGAGTTATGTCGGTCCTTGATGACATTTGGAAGGGTCCGCGGATGGTCCAGTGGAGGCAAAAGTAATATACTAATACATATTATGGTAAATGCCAGTACTGCATAATAATAGTATGCAAGACTATGTACTCATTTAATTGATGTTAGACCACGCCCAACTGACCTTTGCCGGTAGTCTACTACCTTTTTACCAATATGGAAATTTTTTTGAATTTGGAGGCGGAAATAATGCCCTGGTGAGTATCTTGTAACTTGGTCGGAAACCTCAAGTGCTAGTACTACAAATTAGCATTCCCTACCAAATGATGGCGAATAAACTGAGATTTGCGTTGTATTTTGGAAGGTCAAGGAACACTGTCCCGATGCCTTTGCTGAGCCATCGGTGTTGCCGCATTTGTTTTGCGATATCTACGGTGCCGTTTTTCATAAATTGAGGATTTTTACAAATCTACCGTCATGGTAAATGGCAGTGCGCAGCGAGTGAAGAGTTTAACACTGGGGTCTTGGTCCATCTAAAATCTGTCTAAAGTCACACTCATCCTTTTTGTCCATAATGTGTTGTACAAAATAAGAGTACGTATTAAGAGTACACAAGAGTACATAATAAGAGTACATAGAGAGGATACAATATAAAATTGCGTACGTGGTCAGTAATTCTATGTGTACACACGTTACGTTCGTTCCTCCGAATGGAAGTTGGTCTTCAGCCGACTTGATGAAGTGATTAAAACAAAAACAAATTTTGAAATTGTTCCGGAATCCCAAGGCTTCCATTGCGAACTCGCTGCTGCTGCATCCTTGGCACGCCCAACAATTTATTGTGATAAAAGACGTGATTCGCGCGGGGATTAAATCGATCATATTATGGGCCTCTGGCGAACATCTGCAAACAAAACAGATTTTTGTACTTATATGAAGTGTGTAATATTGATTATTGGGAAACTCACAAAGTGTCCGGTATGTCTGGGCGATTCGGTTCAGGAAGTTCCATCAAATCTTCCAAAAACAATACTTTAGAAAACTTCGTAATAATAAAATTTTAAAAACGAGTGTAGTTTTGACATTCTTGGGAACAGGAAAAAATATCACCCATGCAATATCCCTAAGGAAAAATATCGTATCGTATGGGCCATGCTTAATGCTAGATAAACAAATGCGTGTATATGTAGCGAAGTATACATAATATTATGTTGTAGGTACTATGTTATTGCAAAACCGTACCTCGTCGACTGAAGCGAAGCGAAGGTCTTCTGTTTGGGTCACTTCAGGGATTATGGATAATGTGGTGCCCGTACGTCGGCCACCGCCACCAAATGCACAAAGGCGCACTAACGATACACATATACGCCACGGCCGTATATACTCACACCAGATGTAACTATATATGTTTTGCCGTGGTAACCGTGGTATCTTTTGCTATCTTTTGCTGCATTTTATTAAGAACTTTCGCCAAGTCAAAATTTTATTTACAGTACTTACTTTGGAATACTGTAGCCGCTCCATGAGAATGCTCTACAGAGTGTGGAAGGAAAGACGTCACGCTGCTTGGTATTTTGTGTAACGTGTGCGATGTCGGCATGGCCTAACAGCGGTGTAATCTCACTGAATGGCTACGCACAGCATTCTAATGTGTAAGTTTTCGGAAGTCCCAGTTAACTGTCACCTCACGTTTTAAAATTTTGGGTCTTACCAGCAAAGTACAGTAACCGCTATCACGTCAGGTGATGAGAAAATAATAAGCCAAAATGCGTACCCGTAACGGTGTAACCTAAGATACGATTTTGAAATCATTGTCGAACAATGCGTTGAAAATCGGCGAACCCATTCGCCAGCTTAGAATAGTTTCCGTCCTTAAGTTTGGCCCTTAACGGTTTCACTTTAGGTTGTTCAGAATAATTATGTGGGTGCGACAGGCATAAATGTAAACCCAAAAATTTCTGCGTGCTATACTACCCCTGTGCTCTCATGGTCAGGAAGGTAACGCTGCTGTAGAAATGGTAGCTCTTTTACAGGAATGATAAGATAAGAATTATGACCGATCTTCATGGAAGTGCTGATTCTCAGAATACGAAGAAATTTTGGTACTGTGAACATAACTTGCACGATCGGACTGCGGCGAGCACCCGACCGCATTTTACTCACCTGCATTTTAAACCGTAACGCCAGAAGCGTTTTGCGCTACGGCTGATCGGATGCTCATTGCAGTCCAATCATGCAGGCTTGTGTTACGAGCGAAACGAAACTGCGAGCATCCAACGAAACTGGCTACTCATAACATTTTCCCCCTTATACCGAAACTGCCACCAGAATTCCTAATGCGTTACCATGGCGGATAAATAATAATAATAATCGTACTCGTACAACGGACTTCA